GCCTGCAGAACGAGAATATTGCCGGGACGTAACCCTCCAGGTGCTTGACCGAACACTGCACGACTACGCAGACACCGCATCGTGGGCCTCCGGTGGAAATTTAAGCACCTCCGACGTCGAGCACGAGGGATGGAAAAAGCTCCGCTCACAAGGAAATGTGTCATTGTATGCGGAGAAGACAACAGATTTGGGGTGGGTGACGTCAATGCGTGAAGGTGGCTGGCAACACCCTGTTGCAGTGGTGGCTGTGGGCCGCATGTGCTGCTCACTGCACGACGTGCTGTACGGGTTGGTTGCGTCAGATCCTGCCGAATTCAAACTCCGTTCAGTGCTGATGGACTGCAAAGTAGAAGACGACGTCGAGGTTGAAACAATCACGGCCCCGTCGGAAGCAAAGCCGTTCGAGTTTATGGGTGTGACAAGATATGTAGTCCATCGCGGCTGCTTCCATCGTCCGCATGAGTATGTGCTTGTGGCTGCTACGGGGGAAGTCTTCACATCATGCGGGGAGCATCTAGGATACCAAATATGTCAGTCTGTGTCGATATCCCAGTGGCCGGTGACTAGCACGGCGACTCGAAAACGGATGATTCGAGCCCAAGTGCTGCGCGAGCTACCCGATGGTTCTGTCGGGGTTTACTACAAGATCATCGTGGATTCCAAACCTTTCGTACCAGACTCCGTCGTACAGATTTCACTGTGGCATGATGTACAGAATTTCTGGAAAATGGTACCGCGTTGCGCTGATGCCAAGAAGCTCTGCTATTGCGTCGAGCACAAGGATGTATTGAACTTGTCACTACTACGCTCGTCTTGTGGGTGTGGTGACCCTCTGACTTGCGGCTTATGTGGCTCCCCTCTACGAAGTAGAAGTCTCGGAGATATTGCAAGTTCGCTCGGAGCAATGTGGGATGGAATTTCTCAAGCGTATCGGTGCACAATTTGCTCGATACTCTTATGTTTAAAGACGCGCTGTTGCTCGATGCGACAACTCGCGCGAATTGATCGCGATACAATGGAAACTGATCGCCAAATTGTCGTAATCTGCACGACTTGCGCCGATTACGTTCGTTCTGAAAATGCTTTGGAGATCGCACGACGGGGAATACACGAAATTGGTGCAACGTTCAAGGATAAAAAGCCTCCATACGCAGGATCATGCAGGACACACCACAACATCAGAACCTAAAACAATGGTAATCTACTTGTGGACAAACTGTCCATAAAGTGGGTGAATACTCAAACGTTTAATCACTTGTTAATACTCAGTCAACGTGAATGGCTCCGGGGATGAGGAAAGCATGTCTTGTTCCCAGTTTGCCAACGTAATTGCTCCACAATGACGTGACGACTGCATATCTGACAGTTCGGACCGGGCAATATTCACTGCACTTTGGCTTCGCACGAAAGAAATGCAACGTGGACAAACCATTAGGGTTTGTTCGTACATTTTTGTTTCACTGCTACAAACCATTTTCAGCTGGCAAGCTGAGCGGCAATACGAAGCTCCACATAGCCACATACTGCAGAGCTCGCACTGTTTTCCAGGCGTGCGGTTTTCTGATCCTCCAGTGTTTGCACTTTGCGATTTTTGAGTAATGACACCACATCCAGCACAGCCAAGTAACTGAGAGGAGCGCTGCAAGTCATGAGCCAAAGACTTTTGGTTTTTCATACACCAGCGTAACTTTTTCAGATCAATGGCACGTGGAATGAACTTCCAGAAATCCATGACCGCTCGACACACAGTTCCGAGTTTGACAGAATCTGGGAGGCGGTTTTTCGCATCAATGACAAATTTGTTGTACATGATCACGGATCCGTCAGGTTTCTCCCAGAAGACTCGAGCTTGAATCATTTGTGATCGCGGCAATGAGGAAGATTGAGCATACGTGTAGCGCAACGCGACCGACTGAACCATTTCGTAGCCGCAGCGGTTCCCGCTTGCAGATGTGATTTTCCCTGTAGCACAGGCGAGAACCGTCTCACGAGGACCGACAAACATTGTAAACGGCCAATTCTGGGAGTACACGGATCGAGACACTACGAGATTCTGAAACGGAGATTCCTGGGTGGGTACTACTATCGGATCGTGTCGACAGTTAACCTCTGGGCGTCGACCTCTTAACACGCTTCTCATCCGTTGTGTAGCAACGTCCGGCGTAACCAAAGCGAGTAGTACATCATCTACTGAGCAGTTCATCTCTCCAATGGATACTACCGAGATCGGATGTTCCCAGTCCTCGCGATGCATCACAGGAAGCCACGCGGCATTAGGACGTCGGTCGGCGTACAACGTCACGTTTGGGTGGGACTGGAGCTTCTTCCATCGTTTGTTGTCGAGGCGCGCGTGGCAATTGGAGCTGCTAGTGTCCAAGTCAAGCTCCTCGCATTCAAACAGAGTTCGGTCGAGTAACTGGGTGGTGACATCTTGACAATGCTCTCGGTCTTCTGGTGACAGCTCCAGCATGATCGCGATGGCTTCACGATGACAGAGGCTGTGTTACGCGGTGAACTGGAGAAAAGAGAAGTGGGGTAACGCGAACGAGGTCCAAGAGTGCAACAATTCCGTCAATTCGACGGCATGGAATCACCATGATTTGCTTGTCGCGAGCAGAGAAGCTGTATACGACAGGGTACTCCCTCAAAGAGAGCTTTTGCACCATCATGGTTGGTTGAGTGGCCTCGACAGTCGAGCCTAGTTGTAAGCACGTCCAAACTGACTGGTTGTACGGGTTACACAACTGTCACTAAAACCGGGCTGCCACCTTTCTAACTGTTGTACCTCCGTCCACTTGCAACAATGACGGGAACAATCTCGTAGAGTTTTGTCCTCCACGAGCGGATCAAATGCTTCAGGGCCTGCGCACGACCTACCTGAGCGAGGAGCTAGTATCGGTGCAAAGCGACCATCAGAACACTCGATTTACGCGAGGGAGCAATGGAGTCAGGAAAAAAGTATCGACGATATCGAAAAATAGTTTGAAGCAAAAGTTACCCTTG